GAGAATTGTAATGGTAATGGTGGCTCTGTATGACTTTGAGCTTTATCAAATGGACATAAAGATCACCTTCTAAATGATAAACTTAGAAGGAGATCTACATGAACTAATTAAAAGTTTTTTAGATCACAAGAAATGAAACATTAGTGTGTAAGTTGAATAGATCGATATATGGACTAAAATAAGTCTCTCGTCAATGGTATCTTAAGTTTAATGATACCATCACTGCTTATGGTTTTGTAGAGAATACCGTAGATCGGTGTATCTACATTAAGGTCAGTGGGAGTAGATTTGTTATTTAGTTTCGTATGTCGATGACATATTATAGTTGCTAATAATGTGGACATGTTGCACGAAGTAAAGTATTCTCTCTAAAAAGTTATGAAATAAAGGATGTGGATGAAACGTCCTTGCTAATTGGAATAGAAATATTCTGGAATAGATTACAAGGACTAAAAGTTTATCCCATAAAAGTTTTATTTTGAGAGATAATGGATGGTTGTTCCGTATAATTCCAATTCATAAAAGGGATACATTTAGCCTAAAATAAATGTTTGAAAGGTGAAATGGAATGAAAAGTGATGGATGAAATTCCTTAGATATAAATGATTAGGAGTCTTAAGCGAGACGAACCTGTACTAGGTTTGATATTATATTTGTTGTTGGTACGTTAAACAACTATAAAAATGACTTTAAATGATTATGCTGCAAAGAAATTTTTTAAAGTACTTACAAGGCATCAAAGAACACATGCTAACCTAAAGAAGATCTAAATTATTGGTTATAATTGGATACTCGGATTCAGACTTTTGCTCATAATGTCTAAAGGAGCAAAATTATGGAAAGGTGGAACAAAAGTCCATCATCGCGACTTCCACGGTGTAGGGTTGAGTTTGTGGTATGCTTTGAGGCCACAAGTCAAATTTAGGGTTACGGTGCTTTATCTTAGGACTTGGAAATGTCGACATCTTGTCCAAGCCGCTAAGAATTATCGTAGCATTGTAGCAATATTATTTCAAGGAATGACAAGTATTCAAAGGGTGTGAATCACATAAAATTGAAATACTAGGTCGTAAAATATAAGTGAAGAAACAAAGTGTGTCATTTGAGCATTTTAGTACTAATTGCATGAAAGCGGATCCATTAAAGGGTTATTCCCTATAGCCGTTGCAAGACATATAAAGAAAATTGGGAATAACGAATGGGGCCTTGTTGGACTGACCGATACTGAATGAAATTGCTCAATTATTGATTTTGACACTTATTGAATTCAATTAAAGATGTTTGATTCTTCACACTTAATACCATCATTATGGATATTTGATTTTATAGTATATACATAAAAGTTGGATGGCTTATGGTTATGGTACGAATAGTTTGTTCCATATTAAAGTAAAGTTGAATTAGAAATAATTTGTGGTACATGGAAGGGATCATGTCGCTCGAAGACTTGTGACCGCCATGACTCGGTTAATTTCTATTTTAATTTTAAACTTATAGATATATGTATTCAATTATAAGTTTGATGAAAGGTGCGCGCTTAAAGTAGTTCTTTGGGTTTCAACAATTATATGGTCCAAGTGGGAGAATGTAATAATATTTTATATATTATTCTATTATGGTGGACCATATAATTAATTGGGCCTAATTGAATTAATAGTCAAACTTATTTAAGGTGAATATGTATTTAATGAATTATTAATGTTCTAATATTAAAGAGTCCAATTTGTGGTGTTTGACTTGGACAGTAAGTTAGGTTGGAACATGGGGAATGTTAGTAGGAATAGGTTTGCAGGATTCCTCCTATATATACTACATGCCCCTCTCTCCCATCTCATACGAAAATAAAGTTCTCAACATCAAGGACTTTATGAAAAGACGAGAGACGCGGGAGAGAGAAACAATTCATAGGCAAAGGCGAATTGGAGATTATGGGAAAAGATAGATAGATCCATGAGATTACGAAGAGGAAGAGATCGCAGATCAACATCATAGATCAAGAAAACAGGGAAGGACTATAAGCTGGATTCTTGTAAGTTCTACGTGCAATTTAATTTATGCAAAGATCCATATTCTATGAACTGATAGAATTACAGGCTTAGGGTTTATTCAATTCCGCCTGATAGTTATGAGTATGCCCATAAAATTTCTTACAACGAACACCAGATCAAATATCATACCCAACAGAAAAAGATTGTTTTTTTTTTTTTAATTTTTTTTCCTGCAATTTATAGTTTCTACTATCCATTCACAAGCCCAACGACACGTAAGGCAGAGCCTTATAGGGTCCAGTGTGGGCTTAGAAAAATATCTTATATACCTTACTCAATAAATAATTTAATACTCAATTAATAAATTAAAATAAATATAAAAACAATAGGAACACAAATAAGAGAAAAAAGGGATAATGGAAAAAAAATAATTGTTCTTGTTTATTTTGGTGAAAATAAATCTAGTTCTTTTCGTATTAGATTTGATATAAAAATTAAAATTTAAAATTGTAGTTAATTGAATGTTATTTCTTAAAAGACTATTAACATATTTAAATTTGTGTGCGATTGATAACTTGTAGGGCTCTTAAAAGTTTGATATATTAGATAAAGTATTTTATACATTATAACTTATTTATTTTTTGTATTAAATTATGGAGAAAAATATTTTTATAAATAGTATTGACAAAAAAGTGCATGTGAAAATATTTCAAAATTAGCTACTTTTGTTCCAAATATACTTGAGGTGAATTATAATATTATTAGGCCGAAAAAAAACTTAAAAACTTTATTGTAGAGTCATACCAAGCTATTTAAAAACTCAAAAGAATTTATATAAATGTGTATTTTGTATTTATATTTTATTGTGATGTATTAGATTTGTTTTCTAGAAACAAGAAGGTCTCCACTCATATTATGAGCTAGATCAGCCCTGACCACACGTATCATAAACGGACGAAACTGAAATTATAATGTGAAGAAATTAAGAACACAACAAAACAGTTGTAAAAATATACACCCAATCGTCATAAAATGGCTAATTAATGCGAATTCTCGTTCAGGAGCATAGCATGAAGTTGCTGCAGCCTGTAATCGGTTTCCGACCAGCGGCAAATCTTCTGGAGGGGAACTATTTTCTACAGAGGGGCGCAGGGGCCAAAGGTGTGGGTCTAAAAGATGTCTAGGAGAAGTGTTTAAATTTGTACATACGTGCAATCCGTAAAATTTTGACGGCTCTCAAAGGTTGTCGATCGGTCATAACTTTATTCTTCTCTGCATTTAAAGATACTATCACGCTCAATAAAAAATTCAACCAAACGGACCATGATGGGTCTACTCTCAGATCTAGAGTGAACCGGTGGTAATGAGCTCAGATCTGCTTGAATCGCCTTCAAACCGTTGCTAAACCGCAACAACACCTACAAGAACTCAACGCTGGAAGTGTTTCCGGCGTAGAGCCTCCGACGCTCAAGTCAGTATATGAAAGAGATGAAGAATAGATGCTATGAGAGAGCAGCAACATTAATAGAGGAGTGTATGGAATGAATGGAAGTTAGGGTTTAGGGTTACCTCACCTCCTTTATATAAGAGGAAACACTTACTTGAAGTACCCAAAATGTCCTGGTCGGTCTACCTGAAAGGTCTAAATTGCCCTGGTTGATTCGTCTCCCCTTACTGCTGAGTCATGACTAGATTCCTTCTTATCCATTGGAGGATAAGAGTCTTCAAGAGATATCGCAAGTGTATTGAGTCGCCAGCGCATTTCACGCCTCGAGGTACGAGGAGTCGACCTCGAGTACCGTGAGGTCGACTTAGGATTATCCGAATGTCCGGAGGCTACGCTCTTGCTAGTCTTCTTAAGTAAAAGTCGACTTTCGAGAGTCGACTGTGTGAGGTCGACTTCTGGGAGTCGACTTGCATGGATTCCGCCTTCCATCATGGTCGTTCTGTGAAGAATCGACATTGCGGTAGTCGATTTAGGTATGTCGACTGGAACATGCCGACGTGTGGGCGATCTGAGGGGTCGTTTGTCGAGAAAAGGGTTCTTAGACCGGCATATGATAATATGGCTATATCAGACCATATATTGTTATTTTGTTGTTATATATCTTGTTTGTTGTTTTTATAAAAAATATATTATTAATTTTTAAAGTTACAATAACAAACATTTATGTTGCTTTATGTTGCTTTTAGATAATTTAACTGTTATGTATTTATATAACTAATTGATCATTTTTTTTAGGTATTCATATTTGAATGTAAAGAAGAAGAAGAAGAAGAAAAATAAAATACGTGAAAAGAGAATGAAGAGAGAGAAGGAAGAGAGACAAAAAAATAGATAAGGATGGTATGTTTTATCGTTAAAAGTTGAAAGAATCTACCATTTATGAAATTCATTGTACTTAATTAATTTTATGGATTTTTCTTTTTTCTTTTTTTGGTATGTGTGTCTTGTGCAGTTATGTACATTGGCCCAATTGTCATCGTCAGAATCAGCCCAAGACACTCGAAAAATTGGGCTTCCCTAAATGGACTAATTTGGGAGCAACACCACTACTATGGCCCATTTCATGTGTAAGTTATAGAGGAATTTGCACCACGTACTATCATATTATATTTATATAACATTTTTACACCCATCATATTTTATAAAATAGCTAATTCAACCCCAAAATATTACAAATATACTAGATTTTCAGTTACAAAAAATCCAACCGATGTTAAGGAATGTATGGGCAATTTAATTGTGATTAGACTTTGATATATCTTTACCAAAAAAACCGCCCCTAATCTTCACCTTCTACCACCCATTATCTGCAAGAAAAACTCCAAAACCCCACGTTCTCCAACTCTTCAAACATTTTCCCCAACATTATGTTTTCAATGGCGAAGACCAAAATCCCACATCCTACTCGAAAAACACTGCTGCCAAAACCCCACATCCTACTCGAAAAAATTTCTCAAATAACAACAAACGAACCAGAGTCGTAACCCAATTAGACTATTACAGAGATGGCGAACAACAATCGGGTCAGAGAAATTGAGGAAGAAGCGGCGATGCCGTTGTTGCAAAAGACCTCCGAGTCCGACTCGATTCATCCGAGGACCCAAACTGTTACCACGAAGTCCCGGAGGCTGAGGTGCACGTGTACAAGCAAGGGAAGGGCCCGATCGACGTCATGAAAATGGGCCTGGCCGGGTGGGATCAGGACCAGCTCGAGGTGCGCGAGATCTCCAGCATGGATTTAAATCGATCTACGCGTTCACGCCCGAATCGGGTCGGGGCGTGCCGATCCGGTTCAACCCAAGGAATGGCAGGTCGCTGCTCACTTACAGGGACGATGCTGTTATTTATGTTGATGGCGAGCCCAATGTAAAATTCAGAACATATATTGATACTTTGTGCTTGTTTTGTTGCATTATTTGGAAATAAAGAAATATGATTCGAAATTGGTAAAAGGTTAGGTATAGGGTGAATTGATTAATTTGAATTTGAATCAGTTTCAGGATTGACTACGGCCCTTTTAGGTTTAAGTTTGTATATTGTGTGTTTTGGCCTCATATACTGTTAACAGACTAGAAATATACTATTGTTTAATAGTTAAAGTAGAAATATATTGTTAATAAACTAGAAATATATTGTTAATAAACTAGAAACATATTGTTTATGATCAGTATATGTACATAATCTTTTATGGAAGACATGTTTTTCATTGCAACATATACAAAATATAGTATATGTACATAATCTTTTATGGAAGACATATTTTTTATTGCAACATATACGGAATATATACTAACATAAACGCAATATATACCCACCTGCTTTAGGCATTAATATAGATAAATAAGGTCTTTTTTGTTGTGCACATGTGTGGTTTATTTTTTAGTAAAACTGTTTACAAAGCATAAAAGTAAAATAAACAATATGTAAACTCAACATATACTAAAAAATATTCAAAAACTGATTTAAAACAAGCATAAACTGATTTTTTTTTTTTAATTTTATATTCAGTATATTTTCGGTATATGTATGGTTATATTTAGTAAAATCATGGAAAATACATACAATACATATACCAAACATTTTTTATGGTTTATTTTATGTATATATATCAAATATATATTCAGTATATATTTAGACAAAAGATTTTGTGCGTGCATGTGTAAAATCACATTCCATGTTGCATGAAGGTGAGGCAGCAATTTTTTAATATCTGGTTTTCATTCCATATACATCAAGCAATTTTTCTTTTCTTTTTTTTTACTGGATATCGTGCGGGAATTGGGGGATTGAGGGTCGCGGGGGTTATGTAACTGCTTTTAGGTTTATATGCAGTAAAAAATCCTTATTTAGGTAGATTTATAATTATTTGATTATCAATGGTATAATTATAATATTTTCTATTTCATGCAGGAGACATAAAAATTTTCTTTATATGGAGAGGAATATTCCCTGAAGGCTAAAGAATGTAAAATGGTTAGCCGTCAGCCATAGGGGTGTTCGCGGTCTGGTTTTAATCGAAAAAAACCATCAATCCGGACCGCGGATCGGTTAAATGGTCAGTTAAAAAAGTCTTAAAAAATTCGGTGGTTAATTTTTTAAAAAATCTAGAATAACCGATCCGGTTAATGGATTATCTGCGGCAAACCGCCGGTTTAACCGGACCGGACCGGTAAATATTAAAAAACTGTAACAAATATATATATATATATATATATATATATATATTGTCATTCACTATGGCCGACATATACAATACATTCACTATGAATGCTTTGCTCTTATTATTTTAGGTGTATAAACTGACTGAAAAATGAATGCTTGCTTGGGTTCAATTTGCATAATTTAATCTTTATCATTTTTGTATTTTTATGTTTATGGGATGAAATGTGTATTTTTATGCTTATGAGACGAATTGTGTATTTTTTATTTTATTATTGTTGTTTTTCTTAATTTTTATGCCCAAATAATCTCTTTTGGGCCCAAAATTGAAAAATAAAAATTGAAGGACCAAAACAAGAATTTTGGATTTGACCGGTTAACCGCCGAACCGGACCGTCCAATGCGGTCCAGATTATGGTCGGTTAAATAATAAAACCAGTCCGGTTATGGATAAGAAAAAAAATTAACCGTTAGGTCCGGTTTGGTCATGGTTTAGGCTAAAACCGGACCAATTCGGACCGTGAACACCCCTAATCAGCCACAAACAAATGGGCCTATACCCATTTTCGCAGGTACAAAATTGAACAAATTATTTATGCTATTTATATATTAATTCAATTCAATTGACAACAGACAAACAAAGCTGTAGGTTTAAACACAGTACCGATAATCATATCGGATGAGCCATTGGTACACAATTCAATCGGTTTTACCGTCTATTTTATAAATTTTAATAAATATTAAATGAATTTATTATTAAAATATTAGTAATGTATAATTTTTTTTTAATAAATATTAAAATTAATTAAAAGTTAATTATAATGTAAATAAATTAAAATGAAGTGTAGAACTTTTAATTTACATAAATAAATTGCAAAAATATATTAAAAATACTTTTTTTAAATCTGGTATAAATTAGTATTTTGACAGGTATTTTCTGGTAAGAAACCAATATAAAGCGGTATTTTGGCCAAAAGGGTACTTAAAGGGTAATCGTACCGGTCGGACCACCGGTATCCGGGAATACTGGCCAGTACAGTACAATATTTTAAACATTGGTTAATACAACCAAAAAATCTATAGGTAAAATATATCCACGTTTCACTACACTAGTATCGTAATGCACGCAATAAAAATGTTAAATGGGGCAAGTTCTATAAGGTTGCCCGTTTAGCCAAAAAATAATAGGGTTAGATAATTTATTTTTCATCTATTTTAATCAATGCTATTGTTTTTTGCCCGATTGTTAAACCAAAATCCGTTAGAGCTAGTTAGTAAATTAATTAATATATTAATTCACTAACTCATTTGTATTAATATAAATAATATCTTAATACATATATTTATTTTTTGATATATGAAAAATAATAATTTTATTTATTTATTTTCACTATATGATCTCAGTTATTATTTTATTCCACAAATTTGTTGTCATGTAATGTTATTTATATTAATTATAAAAGTTATAGACATATTATATTTTGTATGTATTGATGTATATATAATTTACAATAATATTATCTATTAATATAACTAATTTAAAATTCTGAAAATAAATTTAAAACAAAATGTTTTTGCCATATATATACATATGTGATTCTATTCAATTTTTGGTACTTATCATATCTCATATTAATGAAAGAAAAAAAAAATGTATATATAACATTTTATCAATAATAAATAATTTGTAATAGAAAAGAAAAAAAAAATAGGTCCAAGTTAAAATATGTAACACAGTTTTTATTCATGTTAACAAAATAATCCAATCAATCATTCTAATTTTTTTCGGTCATTATACATTTTAATTTAAATTTAAATTTACATAACAACTAAACACCTTTAATTGAGCAATTGCGGGAAAATAACTCCTTTAATTGATGGTCTAACTAATATTAATTATGAATTGGTCTGACAGTTAAATTCATTTATCGAACATTGCTTCATATTTATACTATAAAATAAAAGAAAATGATACATTGCCAACTTCACGTTTGTTAGCCCGGATTAGATAGGATTGTACCTCCAATCCACCATTTATCTTGCGTTTGTTTTTCAAAACTCCGGCCCGCAAGATAGTATAAAGCCCGCGATGCACAGTGTAATTATCGTGGGAAACAACGATTATTTGATCTTGCGTAGGGTGTAGGATATTTTCTGTCGGTACAGTATTAACTATTTGAATTTACTACCTTGTCCCTAAAAGTAAATAATGTTGACCATCTTCATCTCGGTCAATACAAAAATTACTTATTCTGCCACAACCTCACTAATGCACATTATTCACGCCATGTTTTTTATTTTTTTATTTTATTATATTATACTAGGCTTAAGTTGTAGAACCCGGGAGCCGAGGAGTCCGACGCGTGGAGCGTCTACAGTGCTACCTGCTCCGGCGAGACCGCTGGAAGCTCAAACAAGAACAGGCTGAAGCTGGCGGAAGAGTGGCTGAGGGCGGCCGTCTCGACGGTGGTGTCGCTGCTCATCAAGCTCTTGCCGGAGTACAATCCCTCTGACCCCGGGTTCCTATGTGAATCGTCTATCTTGTGCTTGATTTCATGTACCGATCAGAAATAAACCTTTGAAACCACCGGATTTCGGCAGATTTCAGCGGCGATTAATTGATTTTGTGGCCTCAATTGAACGAAAATTGGGGAACTTTTTTCAGCTGGAATTTGAAAATAAATCTCCTCAAAGGTTGGAGCTAAGAAGTGGACATTAATAAATGTACCTTTTTCAGAGTGTGCAGAAATAGTTGAGAGAGATACAGGGGAGCTTTGTTTATCTTCTTGTGTGTATTAATAGCAATTTACAGTTACAGTAGAGAGAGAAGAGCTTTTCGTATCTTCCTTTGTTACACATACCATTTGTTAAATATATGGGCAAATTTGTAAATGTCCATCTTATCCTATTCACAATCTAGGAAAACAAACCTACAAAACAAATTATTATGATAATCTTATCTTGAGTAAATCAAACATAACAAACATAAATTTAAATGAATCTCTACACCTCAATCTTGGAACCCTAGATAAAAATTATCTAATCCCTAACGTACAAAGGCATGATAGATTAGCAACAAGAATTTCTTCTGCTTTTTTTGTAAGAAGATCAACAAGACCCATGTACAATTTATTTTCCCTAACGTACAACCTACTGAAGTTTTTTTACTGAAACACCCTTCACAGCAGGTTGGTCAAATGAAGGGCATAAATGGAAATTGCTTTTAGCCATGGAGATAGACAGATATATAGCAAATGGTCATGTTGAATTTAATTTGTAAATTTGTAAAAACTAAAAAAGTAAAAATAATAATACAACCAAAAATTTTAGGAAAGCACATTTTACTGCAATAAAACGGTGAACAATAACATTGAACAGGGATTTCTCATTAAAGAACACTTTTCTCTCCCAAAATTGTCTGGAAATTCATCGGTGCTCTTTTTTCATTCAGATCTCTTGATCACTAACCCTTAATCGGTTAGATTTTTCTGTAATTTTTTTTTTTTTTTAGTGTTCATAATCTCTGTCTCTTGATTATCCCTTTTTATTTTGAGAGAATCTGATGGTTGTTGGGCTTTAATTTATACACAACAATTCATCCATGCAATGCTTATAATTTTATGTTAGTGATACATTTTTTTTTCTGGGTTTGTGTTTGATTGTTGTTTTGATCATCATTTCCAGTTTTTAAGCTCGTATGATGTCCAAAGGTAGGGTTTTTACTCTTTTTTTCTTTTTTTTTGTTGGTTTACCCAGGATTTGGAGTAACTTATTGAATTTTATTGGTGCAAATTCGCGAAAGCTTGAAACCTTTTCATGTTAAGAAGGTAAAAATGTCATATTTGCTTTCTCCTGTTTTTTAGTGTGTGTATGTGTGTGTGTGTGTTGACAGCTTTATGTGCCCCTTGCATGTCTGACCATATCTCAATATAATCAAATTGTTGCTTTGCAACGTGGGTTTTCTGTATCTTGTTTGCCTTTTGTTTTAGTAAGACAGAAATATATATGTAATGTAGTTGATCAAGGTAATTTTAATAAATAACAAAAACAATTGCAATCTAATAACATCCCTGTTCTCTTTCTTGATGGAACTGGTAATTCAGTCTACAGCCAGATGCTAGTTATGTTCGACTTATCAAATAATTTCGAACTTCGAATTGTAAGAGATTACCCTATATTGAAATGTTTATATAGTGGGCCTAGCTGACAATTGGCTATAGTCATTTTTGGGTTCCACGGCAAATTAGGATTTTTAAGTCGGTTTAGACAAAGGGAATTGATAGTTTTTAGTTAATCTACTAATTTACTGAACTTTTTTGATCTTTTGTAAGTGTGATTACACGTGTCAGTGAATATCAACATCTGGTTTTTGAAAGCATGATATATTCGGGCCTTGTTTTCTTTCAGTTGTCGGATCTCCTGGTTTGGTTTGCTCATCTTTTTACATACATAGAATGTAATGATTAGTAAAATGCAATTATGATTTATGATAATGTATCGTTATTTGTTACAATGTTTTGTATGAATATTTGAGTTTGAATTCAACTTGAGACATCATCCTAGTATTCTGCGATTTTTACCATGTTGTTCTTTGTTTAGCATGCAAGATTTTTCTGATCCTTTCATCCATGTACAGTGCAACGTCTTGTTGGAATGAGTCAAAAGACTAAACGAGCTAGTTAGTTCAAGATTGATGTTCTGTTTAACTGCATAAAATCCATTGTTGAGTCGTGAAAAATTCGAATGGAATAGGAAAGAAAACGAAGAGGTAAAAAAGGGCCAGGAAAGAATTTGGTTGAATTCCACACGATCAGTAATTGTTATGTTCTTTTCAGGTTCTTTGTTTAATCAATTATGTAATTACTTTATAACTTCTTTTACGTGGCATTATGAGTCAGCTCCATATGAGAATACACGTGTGATACGAAGGACAATAAAGATTCTCTTATTTATTCCAGTGGTTGAGATCTTAATTACTTTTAGAAGATGGATCTTGATTGAAGTAAGGAACAAGGTTGATCCACGTCTAAGTTCCATACGTTCTGGCCTAATGAGTTCATTTACGCTTTACATTTGACAATCTGATTTTCAAAATATCTCAGGGTATCGAAACTTTCCATTTTGTCGTCTTCTTTGAAATCATGCATTACAGACATAATAATTAATTATCCACTAAGCTGTCTTCTCAGGTGACTCGATTTCTCATATCTTAATTATCAGCATTTATGGAGATGCTTTTCTTCAATTAATTTTTGTAATAGGCTCGATTTCTCATATTTAGAAGCTAACTGATTAGGTTATAATTTCATGTTGTTGACTTGGCATTTGTAAGCATTACTCGTGGAAATTTCCTTATAACAGCAACTTAATTAATGTTTTTAGCTTCTAATACTGTTTTTTTTTCGTAAATTAACCTTCTAAATACATGCATCTATTTTCAGGCACCCTGTTGAAAATGGGACACCAAAATACTCGGTTCACTGGTCATATGATTGACATGCAAACCGAACAGCAAGGCCATCCGAATCCCGAGCCATGCATCTTTTACGGCAATTCTCCCAGCTTCCCTCAGCCCAATATTCATCCTCACCGAATGTATGGAATGCCACAGCCCAGCCCAAATCTCGATTTAGCTATGGTCACACCTTCTGGCCTTTACAATAATAATAATAATAATCCGTATTTCGTGCCCCCACAATCTGGTAATTTTATTGCTCAAACCAATCATGGGATTGTTGGTGTGGATTGTGTCGGGGGCCCGTTTAAGGGAAAGATTGCAGGGCCCAGCTCGTCTGCTGCTGGCGGCCCGTCTTCTGAATCTGAGCCATCATCTATGCTGCAAGGGGGTTTTGTCGTGCCACCTGGTGGGTTGCCGTGGGTGGACATGCATTTTCGTGCGAACAATGGGGATTTTGGGGGGGCATTTAGATGGGCCCGCGCTCCCGTACCATATGTTAACGGTAATTGTTTGGACCTGAGTTTGTTGTATATTGTTCTTTTTGCAATTTTAACTTGTGAATTTATTAACATAAAGAGGAAAA